CTTCGATTCAATTCGGGTTGAACCGACCAAAAAAGCATTCCAACCCACGAACTGAACCTAATTTACAGTTCTAAAAAAATTCAACCCAACCCAAGCCGAAAAATTTCTAACCCAATCCAACCTTAGCTTTTGCTGTAAAACAATGGTAAAAAGTGCAGATTCCCTACACCATATCTGTCGGATATTATTCTTCTTAAGAAAAATTATCATAAAAATTCTTTCTTAATTCACTTTCATTATTTTATATTTTTGGAGAAAAGAATTTTGATCTAAAAACTCAATATAATGATGTAAATGATAAATAGCTAAATCACTTGCTGGTACAATAGTCATTTGGCTATCAATATAACCAAACAACAATTAAAGAGTGGCAATCCATAATGAGTCAACAAATCCGAAAAATGATTCTCTAACTGATTGAAACTTATTTTAAAAGAAAAGGTTCATCTTTTAACTATGTTACTTTTTGTTTGCCATGAAAGACAACAGACAACACAAAGGAATTTAAAATAAGGGGAAGAAATTAGCTCGCAAGAAATAAACAACATGTCACTGCGAAAAATATCCCCGAAAGCAAGTTCAAATAATTGTTCAAAGTAGTCCTTTAAGAAAACTGGTAAAAGTTTGGTTCTTCATTAAGGAAAAACTAAGCTAAGACCTTACCTGAATGGCAGTGAATGAACTATTTGTAACCCAATAGATTAGACTGCCCTGCCAAAGAAAGAATAAGAAAAGAAACCCAAGTTCAGTAATTCGTACTCCATAACAGATGGCCAAGACATCATTATACTGGCAATGAAGGTTGATAAACAACCAGAATGATCATAATACCAACAGTCAGACAAGGTAAAAGAAGTAACAATTGAGCACAGAAAAACTAAATAAATTCATCAGTTCGTCTAGGTTGTCATCCCAAGAGGATTATACTAAAATGATATCTAAATTCATATTCGATATCCATTCAGTACACTTGAGATAATACCATTGGGGTAAAATTGGTCAATTATACAAGAAAATGAGAGGAGAGGTTAACTTAAATGCCATTAGGATAAGTTGGTCAATTTCAGAATATGCTTTTAGTGAAGAATTGCATAATCTCTTTGGTGAGCATAAGGAAGTTGAAAAGACAACAGAAATTCCATCTTTTTTTAAATCTCGGCATCATCCTTAAACCAATTACTATGGAATTTTGAAGTTATTGCTTTGAAGTTTGGGTTTGAAGATTGTGCTAGTTTGGTTTGAGTCTGGCTGGTATGAACGTTTAGTAGATCAGAATTTTTGAAGTAGAAGACACTATTTGCTATACAGAAAGTTCTGCCAACCTCCCCTTTCCATTTGGAGATTCCTGTATCCAAAGTTTCATATTAATCCCTCCTGCTTATAAAATAATTATGATTAATTGGTCCCTAGCAGCACTCCCCAACCACTCCGAAGTATTCCTATCAACAAGGAGAAAGTTACTCCTCTCCTTTCTTTCCTCATCTTAAACATTATCTTTAAGAAATCACCGTCATAATTTAAGACCAGAACTTTTGACAAGAAGTTCACTCGGTTCCTGACACCCCTTTTGCCTCCGACTCTCCATTCATGGCATGTCTAAATAATTTTGCAAATACTTCCCCATTTTTCCAGTCAAACCATGTAAAGGTTTTTTTTTGCTTTTTTTTTTTTTTTGCTTTTTTGCAATCTTCTTGGTGTTTGAGAGGAATTGAATATCTTATCTTTCCCCTTTCTTCCTCGTATATGTTGTTATGAATGAACATTTTATGAAATAAAGAAAATGACCCGAAGTTACAGTTTACACCTGACACCTTACCACATAAAACAGAAATTTTCACAAAACTTTAGATACGTGACATCCATGATGAAGTCAAAATGCCTCCAGTAAATACTAATAGAATGGTGAAATCTTATACAAAATTAAAAATGCCACTTCAAAAAATAATTAAGAACAGAATTACCTGAGGAATACAGTAACCAATAAAAAATAATGGTACAGTCAGTAGATTCAAATAGAGTTTGTAGTACTGCAGAGACAGAGAATATATTTATCAGTCTGAAATAAATACAAAAGGAATAGAACGAAAGAATAAGCACGTCTAAATGAGTATATACTTTTTTTTTATAAGAAACAATTTCATTGATGGATGAAATTACAAAGAGAGGGGCGAACCCACCAAAAACCAAAGGAGTTACAAAAAACTTCTCCAATTGGATAATAAAGAGCTCAAACTATAGGAATGAAAATAGTGTGTTGATCTACACCAAGATATAGCATGAAAAGTAATATTATCAAAAAAGGTGATGAAAGGCAGATCTTTGTCTAGGAATAGTCAATGGTTCCTTTCATTCCAAAAAAATCCAAAGAAAAGCTCGAATGAAGTGCTTCCACATAAGTGAGTATATACAGTTTCATCTCCGTCAAAATGAAGGAGAACATCTAAAACACTCACTTTTGCTAAAATGCCAAATATGCCAGTTGCTTTTTCAATTGATGATTTTCTGAAAGAAACCTGGTCAAAAGCAAATAAATAAAAGTCATAAACTTATATCTGTTAACAATGAAAATTGAAAATGTGGATGATTCTCTAGCGAAAACCAGAAAATTTATATTCCCCAGAAAAAGGTACAATATGGCAACAAATAAGTAATAAAAACATAGTTGCATTCATGACAACCAACAACCATCAACCAACAATGTGCTAGGCAAGTGAAGATTGAAAAATAAGAATCATCTCCAGGCATACTTCTGATGAGCGATGAAAGTAATTCATGTTTGTAATTGAAAACTATAAAAATGCCACAACACTCCATTGGAAGTTTCTGCTGTACTACTTCTCTCCATAAGTCCTTCCATTTTTAGTCAAACATTCACATAGTCAACAAAGCAAGCAGTCTAAGAATCTTAGGTTGCCCTTGCTTCTTGAACCTTAGCAATTGCACCATTTAATCTTAGCATGCCTCACAAACATCCAAACTAGATAAGCACCTAACATACCATGCAGGCCCAAGGACAAGGGAAAAGAAGCGATGACATGCTGCTAAACTTATTCAAACAAAAGATAACTCCTTGTGATGAGGTGTCTTTATGGACATCCTTTTGGCAATGATTTACTTGTGTTTATGTGCCACCACAATAAGAATAATAACATTTGTTGTGCTTGGTCTCCAAAATTGAACTGAATGCATCTTCAAATAGGGTTCTTTTTGTAGTATAATATGATTCAAGATTGATTTACAATTAAAATGTTGGGAATATGAAGGGTCTGAAAAAAAATTAGTGTTCTTAAGGTGAGACATAACTGTAAGAGATTGTGAGGAGGAGATAAACTAGAAATGTACTTGAGGGATGAAATGATGTCTTCCTTAGAAACTCTTGGAAGAAAATCCATGCAAAGGGAAAAACCTCACAACTATCCAAAGAGATACTTCAATTTTAAAGACAAACCAACAAAAGGATCCCCTTTCTTTAAATAAGAGAAGGCCAGAAAAAACTCATTATAAGCTTTCACCAAGAAGAAATTAATGTTGCTGTGTGTCCCTTCAACTTGTCAGACCTTCAAAAACAATGAGAGAAAAAATGTGGAGGAAAAGCTCCTTGGAAAATTGAACCAACAACCTTTGACCACTCCATTTTGGACACTTGAATGTATCTAAAACTTTGATTAATCAAATGCTTTTCATGAAGATTGAGATCAGTAACAATGCATGCAATTTCTTAAATTGAAATTCATGGAGATTATAATATTCTATTCTTGCTAAGAAGATGAGTATAAATGATTCAAGTAAGGTCTCTACTTCTAGTTCTGCACTGAATGTGAAAGGATTTAAACATAGTCAACTAAAGCCAAAGGTAGCAAAGGCAAGTGGAAAGGCAAGCAGGAAATGAGTGTTTTTATAGTAAAAAAGGGTGAAAACAGAGTGCAAAATATRAAAGGAAGATAAAGCAACGCCCCTTTCAAAGAAATATGTTGCACATGTTTGTTCTTTAAAAAGTCAAATAGTGAAGACCTGAACATTAATGAAGTGCAAGCTGGAAATTAGAAACGGAAATATGGGGCCTAAAACTCCATGTGGATACTCTGTCAGATTCTGGAACCATAAAGCACCACCCTGCAATTAATGCACCAAAAACTTCATTCTTGACTAGTTCCACTTCCAACAATAGATCCTAGACATAACAAAATATAAAATGGTCCAGATAATGAAAAATCCAAGTAATGTAGGGGTGCACTTGGTTTGGTGATCTAAACACGGGTATTTGAAAAATTGTAAACATATTTAGAATCTGCAAACATGTCTATGTCGTTTTTAAAATTTTTACTTCTAGTTCACGAAATCCAAATACTATTTTCATAAACAGACTCATCAAACTCAGGATCTGAAAACAAGAAATTGAATTTGGGTAAGATATCATACCCTAAATTTTCTAAAAAGCTTCATAAAGATGAGCACCAAACTTGAAAGAAAATAGGCTATAGATATTAAAAAAATTAAAAAAATATATATATATATATTTATATATATTTTTTAAAAGTTGAAAATAATGCTAACTACTCCAGTACACCAGCTAGTTGATCATTTTAAAGCATCTAGTTTTGATAGGATGACCAGCTAAATACATCAAACTACAAAGCCCAACACATTCTTGCCCTCGATTGCACTTTTCAAGTGGTTTAATTTAAAAACAACTTTTTTCATAGTCTCCTTGGTGTATTGTGAAAAAATGATATTGAATTTCTTTTTACAATATTTAATAATTCAAAGCCTTACACAGTCAAATCCAGGATGATGATCAAGTGACATTTTCCGGATAGTAACCATCCACAATAGAAAGCATGGGACCTGCAAAAAAAAAAAGCAAAAACTTTCATCCGAAAAACCAAACAAAATAACCCCATGAAAATATTCTTCATAATATATGTACATGCACCAAATACCAAATGATTGAGTAAATTTTAAATAGAAACAATAAAGATAATGTTAAAACTTAGAAACCCTGGTGATGGCATAATTTGTGATTCATAAAATTGTCATTTAGTTAAATAACAGGTCCTGATGGATTATAAGTAGCAAACCAAGTTCCAGGTCGAGACAGCTCTCCTTTTTTTCTTTTTTAAGAAAACCAGCTCCGATTAAAGAAAATAAATGAAACGCAAAGGGCAATACAAAAATGGAAATCCCGAAATAAAACGAACCAAGAAAATAAAAAACAAAAACTATCAAACTACAAATTATAAGAAAGGGCTTCAGTCTAGGGGAAAAAAAGGATAATCCATTTTTTATATAGGAGGAAGGATAATCATTAAAATACTTAGTAACAGAAAGTGGACGTCTGGTACAAATTCAAGGTGGGTAAAGGGGCCAAGGTGAGTTTTTAGAAAATCCGTGGCAGTTAAATGTTCCTCTTCTTCATGTTTTTACTAGAATTTTTAGAGTGGCCAACTCTAAAGATTATGTGATAGCTCAGTGCTGGTGTGCAAATGAAGGAGGATGGGTACTTGGTTTTTGAAGGAATCTTTCAGACTTGGAGGTGGACGAATGGCATGAACTTTCAAATACTTTGGCAGTATATCTCCTACCAATGCTCGAGAACAGTGGGGTTTTTCATCAAAAATTTAATGCCCAAGCCTTTTTTTTTTTTTTTTTTTTAGATAAGAAACCTTGTATTAGATCAACTCAGAAGAGGAACATCCTAAGGGCTGGGGTAGAGGAAACCCCACCCAAAAATTTATGCCAAAGCTTGTTGATCATCAGGGGATAGCTCCTAACGCTGGAAATTTTATATGGCAACTGGAAATACCAGAAAATGTCAAGGTCTTCTTGTGGATTTTTGTTAAAGAAAGGCTCAAGACGTGTTCTAGACTTCAAAAATTAATACCCATGATGTATCTATCTCCGAACTGGTGCCCTGTGTAGAAAGAATGGAAAAGATCCAATACACCTCTTCCTAAACTGCCCTATTGTTGCAATTTGTTGAGCGAATTTGTTTAATACTTTCAACCTCAGCAAGGTTTTCCCTAACAATGCTTCAGAAGTCTTAGTACAGCTCATATGGGGCACAAGTTTTAAAGAAAGTGAATATCCTTTGGTCTAATGCGGTTGCAAATCTGCTATGGAGAGTGTGGCACGAAAGAAACAAAAGGACCTTCCATGAAGACACAACGAATAGAACCGCCGTTTGGGATCTTGTCAGAATTTTTGTATCTTCTTGGTCTTCTACTACTACTAAACCTTTTTGCAACTATGGAGTGAATAGTGATTGGGAGTCTTTTTGGTAACCCTTTTTGGGGTAGCGTTGAGTCTAACCGGGCCCAAACTTCCTTTGCAGACCTCTCCTAATTTAGCTCCTCAACACCCTCCTATTTCTCCAGCCAAATATGCCARAGTTGCCGCCTGTCTCAAAATGGAAGATGGTATAAGGCTTCATCCATCATATCCCTGCACGATCTGTTGCAAGCATCCAAAAAGCTATCCTAACTCATCTAAGCAAGTTGACACCTTCACCCAACATGCTCCAAATTGGACAATAGTGGCCCAAAAATGTAAGACAATCTCTAGATATGGTCAATGGTGTTAATACTCCCATGGAAGATCAGCTAGGCAAGAAAACTTACCTTATTCTAAAATTGCATCTTCCAAGAGGAATCAAGGGACAGGCCTACACAAAAGAGAGGAAAACGAGCTACATGAAAACTTCCCAAAAGACACGAAGACGGGTGACAATTGTCCCTAACCTAAGGTAGGGACAAAAATCAGCTAACAAGGAGAAACATCCAACAACTCATGATCACATGGAGGATGCCCAAAACCAAAAGTTTACGAAAGGAAATCCTTAGAAGGTTTTTTGTAATTATAGCCTTCAAATGATTGTTCATAGTTTGTTGAAGATAAAAGTACTACAGTGGATTCTTTTTGTGTAAATATTCATCATATGGCTTCTTGGTGGGCTACAATCCACAAGAAGGTTTTTTGTAATTATAGCCTTCAAATGATTGTTCAAGATCGGAAAGCAGTGATTGTATAGTTTGTTGGAGAGGATTCCCTCAACCTTTAAGCTGTTTTTTGTGGTGGCTATGAATGAAAGATTTGTTTCCATTTCTTACCAAAAAAAAAAAAAAAAAAGGGAATCCTTAGAAGGAATGAGAGCGGAAGCCAAGGAATGAATTTGGATGAGTATAAATGGTAGATACGATGGAAAGAAGGCAAATAGCGCTATAACCCACCCAACAATGCTCCTAGAAATGCCTCGGAGATCCATCCTCAATAGAGAACTTTGAAAACATAGTAAACTTCAAATAACCCAAAGCGATAAACTTCCATGGATTCTTAAAAGTTCCTTTAACCCCCAACTCGAGACCCATTCGTTAGAGGGAGGGTCATACTTGTTCACAATGATCCTATGCCACAAAGCATGAGTTTCCAAGGAGAACCATCATGACCATTTTGCAAGAAGGGGCTCCGAACAAGGTTACAATTTTCCTATGCTCAGTTCCCTAGATTGATCGAATGAGATACAAATCTCCCTTAGTCCCACCTAACTGTGAGAACCCCCACCCTCCTGACGCCTTCCCACAAAAAATCCTTGTTCTTGATATCTTTTATCTTTCAAAATGAAACCGAAATTTTTATTGATAGAATGAAAAATTACAATGATAGTTACACCAACTTAGAAAAAATAAAAAAAGCCTAAATTACAAGATACAAAGGAAAATGAAAACACAATTAAAAGCCAGCAAACCAAACTAACCTAGACCTACTACAAATAGACCTTGACAATCAATACAAACCATGAATTTTTTAAGCTAACAATAAAAAACAACTAAAAGTAAAACAATTAACAATACAATCTCAATGACTACAAGAATCCTCAACTGAGCCGCCTAATAAAGACTTTCAACAACAACAACAAAAAAAAAAAAAAAAATTAAAAAAAAAACAAAAGAAATTAAAAAAAAAAACCAGCATCTCTGGAACACCACTTCTCAAATAGAAACCTATTAACCGACAATGAGAAAAGAAACGTCGACYACACGGCTTTCAAGGCGAACCAAAACTAATGATCCATGAATGTCAAACTTAAAATCTAAAGTGTATCGCCACTCCTCCTGCTACTTCTTCAATACATATCTCTTGATATCTTCCTTCTACTCTGAAGCTTCTACCACCTCACTACTTTTTCCCACTTCACTAGGATTTAACAATGAAACTAACTCCCAATTGATCCACTAATGTGTCTTCCCCTCTTCTCTCCCCTCTTTTATTTCCAATCAAAATATAACATACATATATATATAGCTATCATCATTACTAATTCTTATAACAGAGCTATTCTAGAAGCCAAAAATATAATTATTGTCCATTTTTCCCTTGTATATTTTATTTTAAGCGAAATCTTCAAGTCAAAAATCTTTATCCAGCAAAACAAACACTTTTGCATACTTTCTAGAGTTTTTCACTGAAGACTACCCTTTTATAACCTTCTCACTCATCTCAAGTGAAGTCATGCAGTTCCAAACATTGTTGGAACTTTTAGACAAATTGGACAATGAATTTTTTTTTTAATAAGAAACAACGATTTCATTGAGAATAATGAAAATAGATACAAAAATGATACAAAAAGAACAAGACGRGCATACAAAAAGACAGCCCTGAAAAAAGGACCCCCTAAAGAAAAGGGCTCCAATCCAAAAGAATGATGTCTAACTGATAGTTACAAAAGGCCTTTGTGATCGAACCCCATAAAGAAGTATTGAATCTAATGTGATCCCAAACATGATCAACTGATCTCTCCACCCCCCTAAAAATTCTATTATTCCTCTCCAGCCAAATACCCCACAAAGTAGCCAGAAAACAATCCTGCCACAAAAAACGCCCCTTGTCACGAAAAGGGGGGAACAACAGCACCTCCTCTATCATCGTCCTATACTCCTTAGARTGGATCCAGGCCATCCCAAAATATCTGAAGAACCGATGCTAAAGATCCTGCGCAAACTGTCAAGTCCACAACATGTGATCGAGGTCTTCCGAGGCTTTCCTGCAGAGAACACACCACTGTGGACCCAGACAAAAGGATGAAATCCTCTGAATACGATCCAAGGTATTGACTTTCCCAAGTAAAACTTGCCACCCAAAGAACTTAATCTTCTTTGGAATTTTAATCTTCCAAAGAGAWGTAAACCAGGGGGTCGAAGGGGAAAAGGAAGAAGAGGACAGAGAGATCCGGAAATGGAAAAAAGAGTTACAAGAGAAGCCTTTTGAAGGGTTGGGGGTCCAAACTCTCACATCTTCCCTCCCGGAAACAAAAGATTCAGTAACGCAGAAACCTCTGCAGTTTCCCTATCCGTTAAACAGCAAGTGAGCCCCCCCCCCCCCAGATTCAAAATCTTGGCCACCAAAAGCAGCTTCTTATGAGAGAGATAGTAGAGCCTAGGGAAAGCAATGCACAAAGGTGTTTCACCTAACCAAGTGTCCTCCCAGAAGTAAGTATTACGACCCTCCCCCACCACGGAACGTAAGGATTGAGAGAAAACGGGAAAACACATAGCAATAGCCTTCCAAGGATTGAAGTAGCTCACCTTAGACCCTCCAGCAACAACCCAATTGAATGATCCTTTTTTTTATATGAAACGAGTATTTCATTGATGGTATGAAATATACAAAAGACCACAATGGTAATTACAAAAACGCCTTCCAATTGTGGATTAGGTCGTTAAGAGTGTAACAATTGAAAGGTGAGTGGAAGCTTTTACACCAACCAAGAGCTAAAACAGTAACTCTATCAAAAAAAGAATCAAAAGGAAGAGATTTATCGTTAAAGACTCGATTGTTCCTTTCTAGCCATAAACYTCATAGGAAGGCTTTGATGAAAAGGGTCCAAAGTGTTGCACGGTGCTTTGTGAAAGGATGACCCACCAAAAGATAATCAAGGTGGATGGAGGGGTGGTTGTGAAAAGTTGTCTCCCATCTGAATGAAGAGTGGAGGATCAACCAGAATTTGGAGGCATAGCTGCAGCTGAAAAATAGATGTCCAGGTGTTTCAGATGCCTTGACACATAGGTGGCAGCAGTTTGGGGAGAGGGTGATATGGGGCAGCCTTTTCTATATCYGATCAAAAGTGTTCAATGCCCTATGGCTAAGCTCCCAGCAAAAGAACTTGACCTTTTTGGGGCAATTTCCTTGCCAAAGGGTAGGATAGAGGCCGGATGTGGCATTGCAAGTGGACGGGTGCTTAAAAACAGAGTTTGTGGTGAATGACTTACTCGGTTCCAGTGTCCAAATCCATAAATCTTCTCATGGGGGAGGGTTAACAGCTTCTAGGATCTGTGATAGGTCCAACCATTCTTCGAGCTCCTCATCTTTTAAGTGGTCTACGAAAGTTGTAATCCCATGTTGATGTAGTCTTGGACCAATGATCGATAATTTTAGCATCCTTGTTTGTGGCTATAGCAAAGAGCCTCGGATAGAGGTTGTCAAGAGTCCTTYGGGGAARCCACCTATCTTTCCARAAGTAGCRAAGACTATCTTCCCCCACCTTACAGAGAGCAAATTCCTTAATAAGATGTGTGTGATTAAGGATAGAAGACCAAGGCCCTTAAAGCAAGAGTTGCTTTTTGTGGACCAATGATCCTTCGCCACAAAGCATTAGGTTCATGGAAGAAATGCCACAACCATTTAGACAAGAAAGCCTCATTCCTAAGCCTCAAGTTCCCAATGCCCAAACCTCCCGCTTCCAGGGGCTTGGTCACGTCTCTCCAGCTAACAAGATGAGCCCCACCCCCCTCCTCCACACCTTCCCAAAGAAAGTCTCTCATAATTTTTTCTAACCACTCACTAACAGCCACCGGAATTTTGAAGAGGGAAAGATAGTAAGTCGAAATATTAATCATTTACAAAGACAAGGAAGAAAATTTCAAAAAAAAAATATTTTGATAAAGCTCATATACAATAAAACAAAACATTTTTCCATAAACAATATAGTTTCTCATTAGATTATATCACCTGAATGGAAAAGTATGCAAGGAACCATAAAAATGAGGGGCATCCAATTGCCTTTCTTTCCTTTYGAAAAAGAGAAATTTGGTCAATGTAACTCCGTCCCGATAGAGGTGGTGGCAATGGAGGTGGCACTGTGAGAAATGCAAATTAAAGTCAAACTAAACTAACTGTGTGTTAAAAAATAGAACTACATAGATGCAGAAACAAGGTAGTGAGAAGTTGTAAGGACTGCGATTATTGTTCTAATGTAGCAACAAATCATAAGCGGCATTCTGGATTTCTAAAAGAAAACATGTTAGGCATCAACGTAGTATTAGACATAAACTTAAACTCTCTCTCCTATCATTGTAAGAAAATACATAATCATTTTGGCTTTGCAGCAGGAAGGGACTTGAAGAATAAAACACTATGATTGCTTTCCCTTTTTTTAGTACACCACGGGAGTGGGAGAATTCGAACTCATGATTTCTTGGTCAGAGACGAGTGCGAATTACCTCTTAACTAAGCTCATGTTGGCCTATAATTACTTTCTTTACACAGACTAGTTTACAATTTTTAGGGATCAGGTTCAAAGATTTATGATACAATCTAACTCCATCTAACAATAGGACATGGGCTTATCCTATGAGATAATACACATAATGAACGAAAAATGATTAAAGGAAGCTGATTGAACTTTCTTTTTCTTGTTTTTTCCTAAGAAACTGAGAACCTTCCATTTAGAGTTCCAGCATTCATAGCAATACAAATATATTATTTCTTTATCCATTCACGAGATAACAAGCCAAGTAAAGAGCTTTAACGAGCAAGACAAWAGAGAGAGAAATCGATTCGTTACTTTGGAAACTTACACTTAGGAAACAGTTCTCCAATCCTTTTCAACTTTTTAAGTTGAACAATGAGTAAGGGCAGCAACGTAAGTCTGAGAGCTAAAGTTGATGAAGCAATAACTGCCCACCTGAAATTAAAATGATCAACGAAGTAAATTTATAACTTATTGTTCCAACGAAAAGAAATTGGAGCTATCAAAATTACTAGAAACCACGGTTCACACTCTTCCCTCACCCCGAAAAAACCAAATTATGGGTTTACGAGAACATAACTTCCGTGCAGCTAAAGGCAGAGTTGGAGGTTTCTGAAAAGATAGAAAAGTACAACATTATACTGAAACTTTCACCCCATGAAAGAAAGAGCTCGATCGCTCTCTAGCGAGAAAAACAAACGCAGGTTCGTTAAATTGGCCTTGACATACCACCAGTCTTAAATAAAAGAAGAAAAATTTTGAAACTACGGAAAAAACACGATTCAAAATGTACAAACACCACATGGGAAGCAGCATTGAAATGCTCACCAGGGCATCCCGGTATACTGATGGAACCCATCAAGCATCGAAGCCAGTTGCTGAACCGGTAGGATGGACTCCTCCACAGCAGTCGCACCAATAACTTCCTCAACAACTCGTCCAAGTTCCAAGTTCTGAATTCCCGACTCGTCGCCCGACAGGCGGCTGGATTCAACGCCGAATTGGCCGATTGGTTCGAACTCTGAATCATCTTCCGAGCGAGTCCACAAGGACCGAGAGGAGAACACGCCGAGAGCAGCAACGGAGCTTGTATGCGGATCAAAGCAATGCTTGGGGCGGCTGAACGAGTGATGATGAGAACTCGGAAGTAGATGAGCTTCGTGAAGATGAGAGACGGAAGGGAAAGAAATGGAAGCGTTGGAGTAGAAACGAGAGGGACGAAGACGCCGGAGGTGAGCACAGAGCTTCGACGTTGCCATTTGACGGTGAGAGCATACTCCGACGAAGCAGAGATTTCATAAAACTGACTCTCCACAGTCCAGCCGCCGAATTCTTTTTAGTGAATTGTTAGTAATTTAGAGGTGAAAAATAAAAATGGGGTTCTACTTCTGCCCCAAAATATTGGTCCAGATGAATTCTGTTACTCTTTTTTTTTAAGGTAAATACTTCCTCCTCCCGACCAATCTTGTTTTGCAGTTTGACAAGTAAGAAATATAATTATAAGTTCGTCAAATTTTTAAGAATAGCCCGACAACATAGAAATTGTCTCAAAARGGTAGATGCGTGTTCCAATTATTGTAAAAAAAAAWTTTATGAACTTAGGTTTTAATCATTTCAATTGAAATATTGAAATCTGGTATACCACTCTAGTCAACTGAGATTTTTGTGTAGTTTTTCTATTTTGTATTTCTTTATTTTATTACTTTTTCTTCATTTCTCAATTATTTTCTGTTTATTTAGGGGATTTTTTCCGTATTTTTCTTTTTTAAATAAACTTTTTTATGTTTTATTCACATCACTTGTCTCGTGAAATTACATTTTCTTGCCCMTGTTCTTCTTAAATCATAACACATTCTCTCTTTTCTGATTTTACTTTTGTCTTCCTCACCTAAACTCTAATACCCATCTCGCATATATTCATTTTAGAAAATAAGGTMTGTCGTGATTACGCTCCTAGGAAAGAGTTATCGCTTTGCTCATAACCAACCAAAACTTCAAAAGATCAATCACAACTATAAACTAGAAAGAAAATGACAACAAACTTTCAATGGCTTCACTCTGTTCTATATCACTCGTTGACGCTCGTTCCCTCCTCTCTCACTCTTGTTCACATTGGAATTAATATTAAACATGAAATGTTGAGATATCCATATATAAATTAAATTTACCTCATCTATCAGTTTAAACTTTTGGATCGGAGTTGTGGTTTATTCACCATTTAACATGGTATTAGAGAGTGGGAAGTCATGTGTTCGAACCCCTACATTATTATTTCCTCCCCATTTGACAGAATATATAGAGCGCCACACGAACTCAAAAGCACAGTGAGATGGGAGGAAATGGGAGATATCGAGAGCGAGGTAAAATGGCGTCGTAGGTAAAACATAAAAATCATGTTTATTTGATCAACCTTATGATATGAAAACCCCTTTCTAAATTAAGAGTCTTAMCTATGGTATATATGATATTGACCATTGAAAAAGATGGTAGAAATTAACTTCTTATATTGATCTACATCTACAACATGAATTTGTCAAAACGAGCATAAGCGGTAATTGKCATATATCTCCAACCATGATTGTGAGTTYGATCTCCTACCCTACCAACCCACCCTCTGAGTTGCTTAAACATGAATTTTTTAAGGGAAAAATAACACCCTTATTCATGAGAATATTTTTCTCTGGGTCTTAACTATTATTTGTTGTGCTAGGATTTTGCACAAAACCCACAAGGAATTTTGTCATGGAAGGCCCTGCACCACTGACTGGGGTACWAGGAATTGTTCTTGCACAAAACCCACAAGAAGTTGACGATCAAGTTTTAGAATAGGTTAATTGTTCCACTTTGGTCAAAGCACACTAGTTACGATTATGTTAATAGGTTTTTAAGTACCTAATATTTTATGACGTTAGGAGTACATATTACATGCATGTAGGGAGGTTCATTTTTTCCACAGGTCCCATCCCTACGGCGACSCACCTAAATGGGTCAGAGAGTCCCCATTTGAATTCTCCACGAGATGGGGATGGGAAAAGTTTTTTCCTCGTCACCTAAATGGGTTCCCCATTCCTCACCCCCCTCCCCCTCGCATTTTTTTAATATATATATATACACACTAATGAATCTTATTATTCTTCCTATACTTATATATACTAATAAAATCATATTCTTCTGTACCCACCAAATATACAGGAGAGGATTATACCATATAAATAAAGTTTTATAGTTGAAAATTAATTAATTAATTAAAAATTTTCTTAGAAAAAATGTTTAATTGAGAAATAATTTTAAAAGTAAAACAATAAACGAGGAAAAAATCCCCACAAGAACCTGATCCCCGCAAAATTTCGTAAGGAATTTCGTGGGGATAGAGGATTAAATGGAGGGCAAGGATGGGGACGGAGAAGCCTTCCGTATCCACGCCCCACGAACATCACTACATTCATGTCCTAGTCTTTAGGCAGTTCAAGTTTAAAAAATTAGATCGTTATATATATTTGTGCAATTTATCACCATATTTTCTACTATCATTTAGGAGAGATTGTAGGTATTTTTAAGATTTTTATTTTTTATCTTTATTTATTTTATTATAGTTTTCCTACTAAATAGGATTGACTCCTTAAACAAGTTTGCCTAACAAAAAGGAGGACTCTACATCTCAATAGACCTCTTCCTAGAAAATTGAAAGGCTTTTGTTGTTATTTTCTTGTTCTCGAGTTACCTCTCTTTGAGCATATAAGTCAGATGAAATTCAAGCTTTTTTAAGGATTATTATATCTTCGAAGAAAATGTCGATGAAGCTTCATGCAAAGGCATAACAGAGCATAGCACGCCTCAATCCAAAATTTACAGGCTTTTTCTAAACCTTCTATCTTATTAAATTAAACCTTTCTTATTTGGCCTTAAAATTTTCCAAACAATGTAAGAGAATATATGTTAGAATTTCTGAAACTCTACATCCTCTGAAGTAATTTTGATTGCTTTGTCTTTTTTTTTTCTCTTCTTTATGCTAATAGGTGCAAAATAGGAAGATGAAAAAGAGGAGGGTAGTTTGGGCAGATAGCTCTTCAAAACATCTATTATAATTATAGAAGTGAAGGGTCAAGCTTAAGGAACACACAGCAACTTCCACTGGTAAAGAAAAAAGAAAAAGAAAATGCCTCTCAATAGTTGATGATATATTGACATGTAATTATTCTTGTAATTTGATGTTACCATGCAAGATAGAAATTGTCAAATTAAACCCATACAAAATTATTGATTATTAGGACTTTTTGGTAATGTTTATGATAAACCAATTAAAATTTTCTAATTTTGTATGTTATATATATATTTTTTATATTTATTTTGTAAATGATATAAAAAAAAAGTACTCCATTATTTAACCTGAAAAATGTACCAAATAAGAAAAATGGTACAATACTTTTTTTATCTCTAGTTATCCTAATTTCTTATCACTTTGATTTTTTTCATTCTACCATTGCTCTCAAACACATCGTATCGGTAGAATGACAAATTAAATATATTGGTTGTACAGGTAGAAAATGACGAAAGCAATGAGGGCAGAGTTGAGACTGAGGAGTAGAGCGTACTTAGTTACAACAATAATTCTTAGTTTGGGGAATTATTGGGTTCAGATTGAAGGAGCATCTCATTCCCATTCCCATTTCCATTCCGTTTCCAAATCGAAATCGAAATCGAAATCGAAATCCCGAATGGATTGTTACTTCATTTTTGGTGACTCTCAGTCGGATAATGGAAACAATAACGACATCAAAGGGGATGCCATGGCCAATTACAAGCCCTATGGCATTGACTTTCCAAACCAAAACTCCCCCACTCCCACTGGCAGATTCACCAATGGCCGAAATCTTCCTGACTTCATCGGTATTGTTATATTTCAATAAATATATTTGATATAATATTTAAATTAAGAAATCAAAATGATCACTTTTTAAAAAGGTAGGAACCGAAAATGAAAATACATAGTATTTTAAAATTTTAACATTTCTTTTTTTACTTTTTTATTACCTCCCTCTCAGTTTATATTTTATACTACTACATTCTCATTAATAATAAGAAGAATAATTCCATTTTGTTTATTTTTCAGCTGAACTTTTGGGTTTTCACGATTACATCCCGCCCTTTAGGAATACAACTGGTTGGAATGTTCTCAAGGGCGTAAATTATGCATCTGGGGGATCGGGAATTCACTCCGAAACGGGAAGGATGCTGGTAAGTGGAATTTAGTACAACATGTTAAGTGTCTTAACCTGTGAAACCAAACATTACTTTTAATTATATGAAAATACTCCAAACAAAATGTATTGCAAATAGAAGAGGATTTGAACTCACAACCTCTTGGTTGAAGGTATATACAATTTACCGTTGAACTATATTCGCTTTGGCATCTTGTCGCAATTCTAAAAATGATTAGAATTGAATTTGTTGACAAGTGTTTATCTTACTACATAATTTTTTAATTTGTATTACATTTTTAATGGAGGACTAAAATTGTAACTTCATATGAAATTTGTTTATGGTTGTAGGGCAAAGTATTAAGCATCAACAAACAACTGGAAAACCACAACCATACAATTTCTCGAATCCAAGGCTCATTGGGAAGCAAACTTGCAGCTACAAAACATCTTAAAAGTTGCTTATACACGGTTCAAGCAGGCAGCAACGATTACCTTAACAACTATTTTCTGCCATTTTCTTACAAAACGAGCGCCCAATTTACTCCTCAACAATACGCGGTCGCCCTAAACAAACAGCTCTCTCACCAATTGGAGGTTAGTCCCGCAAATGTTTGAGATGGTAATATGTGTCTATCTGTGTGTCTTTATCGATTGAGCTATGTTCGGATTACGAAGATTTGATTAATATTTTATAGGAATTATATGATCGAGGAGGTCGAAAGGTAGCGGTGTTCGGAGTCGGAGGTATAGGGTGTACTCCTTATGCAAGGGCTAACTTTGAGCATGAAGGATCTCCATGTGTGGAAAAAATCAACTATGCCATTCAACTTTTCAATAGTGGCCTCAAGTCCCTCATTCATGATCTTAATACCAAATTTACCGATGCCAAGTTTATCTTCATTGATGTCTTCAAGATTTCTACTATGAAGCCTACACCTCTTGGTAACATTTAATTCTTACATTTTTTACTATTCTTAAATCTTAATTATGATGGACGACACTCTCGAAAAAGCAATATCAAATTGGTAATTGGTATTCACTCGAGCAAAGAATGTTTAGGATCATTTCGTAACATTTATGTTTCTTATTTCTAATTAGTTTCTGTTTTCTATAAAGAAAAATAAAATTGCGTTTTGTAACTATTTCTTGTTCTTTAAAATTTTTATTAAAAAAAATCAATTAAATATTGGTTAAAATACTAGTTTCGCCCTTGTACTTTCAGTTTTGGTTCATTTTGGTTTATTTTAGTCCATATACTTTCAAAATGTTCATTTTGGTCCACGTACTTTTAAAAAGTGGCCATTTTTTTCTTAATTTTATTCTTAATCTTATTTTTTTCAATCACAATTTTAACACTGACACTAAAATCATATATTTCTTAAAATGTAACCATTACTATATACTAAAAAGTTTCTGTTATGTGTAAAATACGTGTTAAAATTTTACAAAGAATGACTAAAATGATCACTTTTTTAAAAGTATATGGACTAAAATGAACTAAAGTTTAAAGTACAGTGATCAAAATGAACAATTTCAAAGTACGAGGACTAAAATGAACCAATGCTGAAAGTACAGGGAACAAAATAATATTTTAACCTTAAATATTCCGAACTTTTATGTTATGTTTATTTTGTATTTTATAAGTCAATAACAATTTTATTTATGTTTTGAAAAAAACTTCGAATAAGAAAAAGTTTCAAAATGTTTACGAGCAGAAAACTTTTGAGATGATAAAAGAAGGAAATGATTATCAAACTTATAATAGAAACAAAAACTTTTGAGATACTCATCATCTATTAAAATCAAAAATGCTTTTTTGTATTTCTTTTTTTTTTTTTTTGATGACTATTATTCATGAAAAATATACAAACTTGCAGTTCCAGCTGATTTATTGGTTCTAGATGCTCCTTGTTGTGAAGTTCCAGTTGGGCAGCTACAATGTACTCCATTTGGAAAAGTATGTGGCAATAGGAGCAAATACATGTTTTGGGATGGAGTTCATCCCACTGAACTTGGGTTTAAGTTAGTAGCAAAAAGAGCCTTTAATGCCAAAGAGCCTGATGATACTTACCCATTTGATATCAGCCACCTCGTTCGACTCTAACCATGTAAACGAGAAAATTTTCTAGGACTACCAGAGTACCATAATCTTTTTGTACGTATTCATACTATAGTTTTGTTTTTATAGATAATTTTTTAATGTTGGTAGACACCGCATCATTTCTAATATGATGCTAATGTGTCAGGCCGTGAATGAAAGATATATTCATACTCCTGTATGTAGTACTATAAATTTTTCGATGTAAACGGCTCATATACAAGTTTTACATTAAATTTCAATCTAGGATGACAATTTACTCGTAAGTCTCTTCAGGATGTTGGAAGGAATAATATTACCTAGAAAGATCAATTTTATTTTTGTTTTATATTAAGAATTTAAGGATGTCTAAAAATTTGCCAACATAGCATCGCCCAGTAGTTAAAGTATCTTGCTTCTTTCCTAGAGATCAGAGACTTAATTCATCGCTACCATATTTGGTTTTCTATCTTCACATTGGTTACCAAATTATTTGTGTGGTAAAACTTTTGTGCGAATATCGACAACTATTTGCAATTAATACAACTAAAGTATTAGATTGAGTCACAACTTTTTTTTTCTTGTACTCCAATAGAAAACCTCAATAAGAGAAAAAACATACACCTGGAAGTACTTTCAGAGTCATGAACTTGACTACGTGAATTCATATATCTTGATAGAAAACTTGCATTCAAATTTATTGTTAAAGGAGTAGAAATAACTTTACATTTTTCCATCTTGAATTTCTTCAAAATTCTTTGAACATACTTTCTTTAAATACTTTTGTTTTCCGGATGGATTTCCTTACCAAGAATGTAATGCATATAACCTAGATTTGACATCTCAAACATCTTTTTCTTCTCAACTTTGAAATCGTGTAGCATTTGATGATCATTTCCAGTTACGAGAATATCATCAACACAAAGATTAGAAAGAAAGAGTTTATTAGAATTATGACTAACCTTAACATAGAGAGTAGTTTCACTCAAACTCCTCCTGAACCCTTGAATGATCAAATATGAATCTTGTTGTACCAAGCTCGAGATGAGCGCTTTAGACCGTTGTTGGGGGCAAAAATATGACCCACCACGTGGCGAGATCATCTACGACCGACCTCATCAACTCATCTACGGCCGAGATCTTATGTTCATTTAGGAAGAGCTCTTAAATTCATCTACGGAAGATATCCTAAGTTCATCTAGGAAGAGCTCTTAAGCTCGTCTACAAAAGAGCTCCTAAGCTCATATAGGAAGAGCTCCTAAGCTCATATAGGAAGAGCTCTTAAGCTCATCCACGGTTGAGCTCCTAAAGGACAAGCTTTGACGTCATGGATTCCATCAACAATTCAATATTGGAGGGCAAACTGTCGCAGGTCGAGCTATTCTCCAAGGATCATAGGTCGACCTTGGAGGTCGGGCTCGGTTACTTAAACGTAGATGAGAACCTTCCAAGTATCATGCTCCACGGTAGGGATAAATCCAAAGACCAACACGGACCAACGGTCCATAGCATATCATCTGACCCCAGAACAGTGAAATATACCCTGATGGGATGGGTAACTACTCCTCAAACTCGTATAAATACACCTTCGCTTCACCCACTAAGGTATGCAATTTCTTTCTGAAGCTGGTCTACCCAGCTCGAATTCGGACTAACTTGAGCGTCAGAGTGCTCTACCTGTTTTTGCAGGTCTCCCTTCTCCAGCTCGCTCCGCGTCAACTCGACCGAGAGGTCTTCCCTCTCAAGCTCGCTACACTTCAGTTCGCTGGAGAGACCTTCCCTACCCAGCTCGCTCCGCAACAGCTCGCTAGGTCCTAGCACAGGTCGCTCCACGACACTTAGGCAAATTTTTTAATCAACAATCGTAAAGAACTTTTCTTTGCCTTCTTCTAAAAACCTTTTAGATTGACTTACTTAAATATCCTTCTTCAAGCTCACCATTTAAAAAATGCTAATTTGACATCTAGATGGAATATTTTCTACCTCGACTGTACAGCTAAAATATTCAATTGTAGAAGTCATGTCATGCAACTGGAGCAAATGTATCCCCGTAATTAACTCCAGGTTGTTATACACATATCCTTTTACCACTAACCTTACTTTGTATTTGTTGATTGAACCATTAGAATTATACTTCACCATGAACACTCATTTCACACTTAAAGCGTTCTTTCCTCATTGTTGGTTTATAAGCTCCCAAGTATTATTGATCATCTCCAATAATTCAGCTTTCGTAACAGTAATATCAATTCAAGATACTGTGAAGCTTCAAAATAGCTATTTGGTTTAGTAATAATATAAAATTACAACTTTCATATACATTAACAAGTAAATATTACCTTGTAATTTGGAACATCGCGAGTTCGATCAACAAGATCATCCTTCAAAGAAGGATCTTGGCTATCTTGATCATTAGAGTCAATTGAATCAAAAGAAGATTCAATTTGGTTCTAAATTTTTTAAATTAATGGATGAGTTTCTAACCATTTTTTTCTCCTCAAAATCTCAATAAGAATCTTCATTAACGATGACATCGCGACTCAAGATAACTTTTCTAGTGTTCATAAAAAAAAAAAAATCTATATAAAACTTCATAAGGAGTCTTGCCTATAACTACCTTGGTAGGTAGTCTATTGAACAACTAAATAGATGTACTTATAGCTTCTACCCAGATTTTCTTTGGGCTGTTTCTTCCCCAAGGTGTTAGCTATCTCCATCATGGTTTTGTTCTTCCTTTTTGATACACCATTTTACTCTGGTGTGTACGTAATAAACAGGTGATGCTGGATTTTCAAGTCTTCACAAAACCTGTCAAATTGCTTAGAATTATATTTCTTCCTATCATCTGTTTTCAAAATGTTTAGCTTGCAGCCACTTAAATTTCAATAAGATTAACAAACTTCTTGAAAATTTTAAAAAAATTAGTTTTGTACACACTCCAGTCATCTTAGTAAAACCATCCGTAAAATCATCAATAAATCGAATAAAATATTTATTATTCTAAATAGATATTTAGAGAAGGGGACATAAACATTGCTATGCACAAATTCAAACTTTTCTTTGGCTCTAAAACTGCCATATTTTGGAAAAGATAGTCTAATGCATCGTCTACTTCTTGGCAACTTTCACAAATCTGATCGAATGAGATAAAACTGTAAAAATCATCAACCATAGGTTAGAAAAATGCAAAATTTGCAAAACTTTGTTGTTGTAGTGTACAAAACGATAGTGCTTTTTTTTTTTTTTGCTTCTTCTATTTGGACCTTAAGAGCATAATGACATAGCGAGACACTATTCAAAAGAATGATATTGCCAATCATTTCAAACCTTGTAATCTCTACTCCTTGAGGATAAACTTCTCTCTGTACAACCATCCTTGCTGCAATAATCACAAAGATGAAATTGCTTTTTTCTTTTTGTATTAATAATCATTTTGAGCATGGTTGGTGTTTTTACACAAAAGACAAAGAGAATTTACTTTGACGCTCTTGTTTTTCCCTTGCTCTCGTATTTAATTTATTGTCTATTATCATGTGCGGCAATATTTTCACCTTTGGTCATGGCATTAAAGACACCCTCAACACGTTCCTCGTTACGCATGTATTCTTTTATTCTTGAGCTTGTAAGTTGCTAATTAACTAAGCTATAGAGAGTAGTCAGATTAGAAGATTCTTCTATTACTGAGTTTTTTGATTCAAATTTATTTGGAAAAGTTACTATTACCTTTTCTACTACTTTTTAATCCGGAAAATCTTCACAAGCTAATTTGGTTTGGTTCACATCATTGATTTAAATCTAAATCTTTTAAAAGCCTCTCAAACTCTCTTTTGAGCCTTAATAACTTAAGGTTTTTAATCTTACACTTCCTTCAAATTTTCTCGTACAATTTATCTCAAGTTTTCGTTAGACACTTCAAGGTTTAGGAACCTATTAAACACTAACTTGAAAGTTGATAAACTAAACTTGTAATTTAATTAATAATTCATTTAATATTATTTAAAATTTTAAATTTATACATTTATACATTTTGATGCGCAGTACATTAAATTTTAAATCCACTATTTAACGACCTTGCATACTCTAATGCGACATGCTGTAATGTTTTTTTGTTAGTACAAATGAGAGATTGAACCTCCGACCTCTAGAGAAAGAGCAAACTGCTTTAATCGCTTACCTAACGTTTTGCACACTATAACACCATCCATATAACACCATCCAGACACGTACAAAAATATATTTTCCTTCATCACATGTCCTGTACATGATACAAACAAATGTTTACACAACAGAATAATGTACATTGGCAGGATTCTCCCTCTGCCATTTGAGTGTCTGCAAACGAAACAAACATACCAAGGCACAAAGGGAATTGCAAACACCAAGCTATCTACTTGCCAATATTACAAGAGAACAGTGTGATCCACAGAAAAAATATATATATATCTGTGGCAACAAAACATGATTCTATCATTTTTGGTCCAATTGTCGCTCTTCCCCGGCACGCATGGATGAACCTTGCAAACATGACTAGAAGAACCTCAAGTCGACCTCCTAAAGAGGATCCTGATGGAGGTTATGCATAGTATAGAAGTGAACTGTTTGCTTAGATACATGTGATCTACATTTGGTGATCGTTTTCTCGAGAGGACTTGGTTGCTAAAGCACGAACCTCTGATTCAGTAGTCAATAGCTTTTCTCTAAGAATTAAATTATATTTGTACAAACTTTTGATATTCTTCAAGATATCAGACATGTCAATATCAGAACCGTCCTTAAACTCTGCATCAAAAAGAATAAAACTAACTCTGAGCAATGAGCATGGTTCTTCAGAGCAAAAACGATGTCACATATCCACATGGTAAATGCATTCTTGTCATAAATCCAAGTGTTGCAAAGAAAAAATGTTCTAGAACTAATACAACCGACCTACCCGTTCTTGTCTTCATGCCATGGAACAATAATATTATGTTTCTTGGCAACAATGAAAGACAACGGAGAGGAGAGGAGGGGGAATATCAGATGTTGATTTTTTTAAAATGTGAAAATTACCTATTGTGGGTGGTGGGGGAATAACATCTTCAGAATGAAAAAAGTCTCCAAGTCGTGAGGAATCTCCCACACATGGACCCGTCTTTAAGCTTTGCTTCCCCCCATCGATAAAACCGAGTACATGGTGTTTTGGAGACTGAAAAACATAGACGTTGAATGATTAGTGATTCAACTTATACTCCCAATTATTGTTAACCTTAGAGCATGCAGGATATGCCAATGATAGCAGAATCATTGAAATTTATTCTCAATAATCTTATACCAAAACATAAGATTTCCTACTTATTTGATTGACCACACAATTTGCCAAATGATCATATGAAATTATGATTCATAGATCATAAAGTTCTGTTGTCTGTATCTAAAAATGAACCTATGAAATTATGAATGCTAATTCCCAAATGTTTGGGTAAGCGTAGCTAACTTTATATATTAGAAACAGATTTTGTTAAAGAAAATATGAAACACGGGCACCTCTTCTTAACTTGCCCTTTAGCTTACAACTTTTGGTCCTATATGCGTAACACTTTCAGCTGGAATGTGGCTCTCCATTCAAACATTGATGGCCAGCTGGATTCTTCTTTTGTGGGGCATCCATTCGGAAAGGAGGAAAATACCCTTTAGGAGAATATTGTCACTGCCTCTTTTTGGAAGCTTTGGCTCAAGAGAAGCAACCACATTTTCAACGACTCTTTGGACTCTTCAGACTCCTTTAAATCTTTCCTACATGCTATCCTTTTTACAGCTTTATTTTAGTGTAAATGTGTTTCCCCTCTCCGGAATTACAGCCTCAATATTCTTCTGGCCAAGTGAAAGGTTTTATGTAATCCTCTCGACTTGGGGAGAGCTTCTCCCCCTAAAAACGAGACTCCAATTGTTCGCATTCCAAAAAACATCATGGAATAATTTGGTACTTAGAAAACAAAAAAGAGATGCATTTTTTTTAGAAAGAAAAAAAAGAGATGCATTATTGAAATGCACTCGAGAAAAAAATGCTCCAAAAATCTGGAATGGGAACTAGGTTGTCAAAAAGATTTTCTTCCATTCACATGCTGCCATGTTAGGCACTGACAGGTTTGACAAAGGTTTTACCAAGTCAAGAATGAATTAAACTTACTTGACTGCTTAAGTTTTTCAAACTAATATGGTAATTTAACATGTAACAGCAATAACTTGATGAATTATAAATTTGAAGAAATTGGCGAGGGATTAGCACTGCATAGTCAATGTTTCAACAAGGAAACTCACTAGTTCTTGTTTGGTTGCTATCGCTCTCATTTCTTGGTCACTAGCTCTTGCCTTAGATAATTTCGTATCCTGATTGGCAGTCTGCAGGTGATTAGTCTAATCAGAGAGAGCTTGAAAGGAAAATTTCAGAAAATAAATAAGCTCTTGGAGATGTAAGATAACAGATATTTACTTCTCTGTTAAAACTGAAAGTAGTATATCCCCTCTTTGGTCTTTGCTTGCCTGACGATGCACGCTTACGACTTGATTGAACCATGCAGTCAGCGCAACTTGGTGTTGTTGACAGATCATTGTAATAACCATCGAGTGTTATGCAGCCCCATGTATACATTACATATTTCCTCAGCTAGAAAATAGAATAAGTCAGTTTGATACCCATCATTGTTCAAAAATTCTAATTTCACCAACCTAATTACATCTCTCCTAACCCATCTAATTTGTAAATATTGCTAGCCATGCCATGCACCAATAGAACCCAAGATTACCCTCCACCTACCAATACCACCTCACCTCACAGACAAAGAGCCTCCTAAGAGAGAGGAAGAGGGGATAAATATAGAATGCAATTTTTAATTTTTTATTGTTTCCTCGGATTTTAGAAAGATCTCCCTCATTGAAAGGCAAAAGCAAACCAAAACAGTATAATAAATAATGTCAACTGATTGGTATCTGAAATAACTTTAGGAGAGAGAAACACCTTATTCCAGTGTTCTTGTGCTTTTCTTCGATTTCTAATATTACGCATAACTCTATCTTCGTTACGGAGCTTTTTAATCCTGTATTCAAACTACAAACCAAACCAATTTAGGGAAGTGAAGCAACTACAAAACAAAATCAAAGCATCAACCAAATTCTACACAATATACTCCGTCTTGAAGAAAGGAGTAATAATTTGTCACATAGTCTTATGCCTAATGAGTCACAGAAAGAAACTTTTAATTTAACAGCCAGTACCACATTATTAGTTCTTGTACAGCAGGTAAATTGTTATTACTTAAGCTGTTAGGTTGTTACTGGGGCTGTTAGGGGACTTTTTAGGCTGTTTCCGTAGCTTCCTTCTATAAATAGAGGCTGTTACCTTCATTTGTAATACCATTCAGTGAATTAATGCAATATCCTTTCACTCAAATACATCAATGGTATTATTAAAGAGTTTGAAGACTCAAAATGCAATAATTATTATTTACAAGCTTGGATTTCGCGTTTTTGGAAAAAGTCATATACCTGCACCAGGAGGTAAGAAAAAATGGCAACACTAATGCAATATAGGCCACCAAGATTGGCCAGAAAGCTAACTGCATAACAGAGAAATTTTAAGACCAATCGTAATGTTAGTCAAAATTCCATAACAATGATTATTTACAAAATAAAAACTACAAAATGCTCAACTTAATAGTCAATCAATCTTTTATTCTTGTATCTTTATGCTGTTTGTTTAACAATTGGAATTTGTTTTGAGTTTAGCCTCCTTTATTGATCAGCTTCTTATGGAAGACTTCTATGCATTTGAGTGGAAATAAATGGATGGGAGTAATTTTTGGAAGTGTGTTTGGCTATTACTTCTGAAATTTGGAAAAGAGTTGGGAATTTTTAAAGACAGAATGAAAGAAAGTCTCTTCCCCGTTTGAAGATTCATTTCAGTTTCTTTTGTCAAGTTTCTTGGCCAAGCCTCTAGATTTTCACAGATTGTTTTTTCTTTATTCTGAATTGTCTTTTTGTTTGTTCTCTTTTGTATTTTTCTTATGGTTTACTTCACTCCCTTTCGATGTTTGTATCTCTTTTTTTATTCCTTAAGAACTGGGAGTCGGAGCTTTGCTCCCCCATATCCAGAGGCACCCGCGCCTGCTCCAAAGCCTGGACCCAGGAGACGTCAAGAGTTTTTTATATCGAGCTCACTAGAAGGTTCAAACTTGAGACCTCTAAACCAGTATGACCAAGAGACCACAAGTACTTGCCAATCGAACTGCCCCTTAGGGTCCCTTTTTGGATGTTTGTATCTTGAAACGTTCTATTTCCTTTTCATTATTTAGTTCGTATCTTGTTCTGAAAAAAAAAGATACAATGAAACAGAAGGTTTGTGGAACCAACGGAATTAGCAAAGATCAAATTATATAAACAATTTTAGAAAACAACAATCAACAGCAAACACTTATACAATAGAAAGTCACAAGTACTGCTTTTTTTTATTTTTCTTGCCTACGAACCTGCTAGTTAACAGTTTAAAGCCAAAATTAACCTCAAAGAAGATATTAAGCAAGAAACAATAGTTCCTGCCAAGAATGGCTAATGTCAAATTGGGCTTGCACAATCCAAGTTACTAGTATCCTTATCCCACACATCTCAAGCTATCTAGGCTGTTATAGTGTTTATATTATTATTATTATTTATGAGAAGCCGAACTTTCATTGAGAGAAATGAAAAAATATACGAGGACATACAAAAAAACAGTCCGACAATACAATGCCTTCTAGAGTTCTAATCCAAGAGAATGCCACCTAACTGATAATTTAAAAAAAAAAAGACTTAGAAATAGAGTCCCACAAGGAGGTATTAAATCTAGTAAGCTCCCAAATATGCTCCTCGGATCTCTCTACCCCTAAAAATTCTATTATCTCTCACAAGCCAAATACCCCACAAAGTAGCAAGGAAAAAGATCTACCACAAAAAACTACCCCTTTCTTGAAGGGAGGGGACGACAAAACCTCCTCAATAACTGCCCAACAATCTCTGGTACGAGTTGAAGACTCCCAAAACACTAAAAAACAATGATCCCAAATATCCCGCAGATAACTGATAGGACCACAGCATGTGATCAAGATCTTTCGATGCACCTTTGCAAAGCACACACCATTGCGGTCCCAAAAAGAAAACACCTCTAAATGCGATCCAAGGTATTGACTTTCCCATTAATACCTACTACCCAAATAACTTAATCTTTCTTGGAATTTTGACCTTCGAAAGGGAGGCAAACAACGAGGTCGGAGGGAACTAGAAGAGAACTCAATAGGTGGAAAGAGGAGCTACATGAAAACCCCCTGGAAGGGCTAGGGGACCAAACCCAAAAATCCTTCCTCCCAAAGAAAAGGAACATCTGACAACAAAAGAAGCAAGACGAAAACCTCTATAATCTCTCTATCCATCAAAGGGCGACTAAAGCCCAGAGAAAAAGAAGAAATACTCCAGAGAAAAGAAGAAATATTCCCCCTAAACTCCAATATCAAGGCTACCGAATCAACCTCTTTTTCGAAAGGCGGCAAAGGCTGGGGAATAGTAGGCAAGAGATTTATCTCCCACCCAAATGTCCTCCAAGAAATAGGTATCGAACCCATCCCCAACAGAACGCCTCAAGAATTGGGAAGAGAAGGGAAATCCAGAAGAGATAGCCTAATTTTTAGCACACACCATCAGCTTCAGCCCACCAGCTAAGACCCGGTCAAAAGGGTGCAACCTATACTTGTGTATCATTGTAAATACCTCAGTTGTATAGTCCTTTTTCATCTTTTATATGCTTTATTTTAAGGTATTTGTATACACATACCAATATATATCCTAATGAATGAACCATGTTGGACTATTAGTCATTGGGCCAATAAAAGAGAAAAATAAAAGAATGAGTTCAAACCATTGGGACCAACTAGGTAAGATTTAATATCCTACGAGTCTCCTTGCAACAAACCTAGTAGGGTTAGGAGGTTGTCCTGCAAGATTAGTCAAGATGCCCGTAAGTTGGCTTGGACACTCACAAATATCTCTTTCTATATATATAATGAACGGAATAGTGAATCAATGGTTATATAGACTATGAAATAGATTTGAGTGATAGAATAATGTGTCATAAGCAAAGAAAATAGTGGAATAGTATAGTCTGTTGTGAAGATTACTGTTTATTCTGGTGGACATTGAGGTGGACGATTTTGCTGACAAATTAAGAGTTCAGTGGAAATTTAATATATAAAGAGGTGACATTCAGTTTAATATATATATATATATATATATAAAGAGGTGACATTCAGATTGTTCATGTAATGTTTATGAGTGTTATTCAACACGAGTACGATACGATAATCCCTAAAAGAACATTAGATCACAAACCTTAAAATTTATATAACTATCCTTTGCTAAATTCCCATAAAATTCAGTTTGTGTACAAAGTAGGAGTATGTACATGATGACAATGACGCAGATACTTACCAGGGCCCAAAATATTTTGCTTCTCTATCTCAACAATGTAGGAAGAGAGCAGATTGATATACATGGTGATGTTGAGTAGTCCATCTTCGGAATTCTCAAGGGATGATTGGAGCTCGCTTATCTCTTGAAAGGATGAACCAGGGAGAAACTCATGAAATAAAGGCTGTATGAGCTCAGAATCCTGTTGGTTACCGTATATTCTTGGAAATAGATTGAATTGCACTATATTGGCATTCTTCCCCCTGAACGTAACTGGTGTATCATTAAAATTGCTTCCATTTTTTAATGTTCCACTAATAAAACTTGCATGATTATTTTTGGCATGATTCATTGAAGAGAGGTTAAACTGAAATCCAACAGCACTAGCAGGACTATTTGGAAGATCAACAAACTGCCATGAGATATAAATATTGTCCTGACTGAAACGGCATCTTGCACACCGAAAACTGATGGTTGGCCCTTGACTCTTGTTATGACAGGAGTAGTTTGCAAAATTTGACAGAGGCATTACTTTCTGTTTCAGAAAACCAGGATTTCCAAACACAATAGAACCAAGATCACGAATATTTTCACAGCTCATAGTAGAGACTGTGGTTATATTAAATTCCATATCACACACGAAAGAAACCATGTCCTGTGCATTTGCTGCTTTGATATTATGCACTTCAATGCTTCTCTTGGATATGATTTGGTAAAGCAACCTGAGAAAACACTGCAAAGCCAAGTCAATACGAAACCAACATGAGAGATGAAAGTACAAAGAAAATTGGTACTTACGCAGCAAACAAGCCAATGAAAAGTATCCAACTTGCTATTGAGAATGTTCCACCAAGCTCAGTTTTCCGTTTTATGACTACTTTCTGGTCATCCTTCAACACAGACAAGGCAAGCTAATTATTGGACTAAAAGAAGAAATTATAATTTTCATTGACTAGAGGAGATTCAGAACCTGTCCTGAACAGATAAAAGAATGCACGAAAAAGCATACCAAACTACCCAAAATGAAACCTGAGATACTAAGTTTTGTCCAGCTTTATTATTATTATTATTTATTTTTTATAAAAAAATTGAAGTAGTTCTGGCCAGCTGTTAACACCACAAGCGAGAGGCAAAAGAAACAAAGTTGAGAGTCTTGTTTTCTTTTTTCAAACCGGAAACAAACTTTTTATTCATATGTCCTATAAATGTTCGATACAAACCAAGTATTAAGTAAAACATAAGACTATATCCCAAAGAATCATACATCAAACCAAGCTCATTCAGATGAAGAGATAGTACAGTTAATGGGCTTGACCAGCAAAAAGTTGAGGGATTTTACCAAACTCAGCAAAATGACAGATGGGCTTGGAATCTTGGAAAAAGAAAAGGAGAGTTCTCTGTCAAATCCTTCCCGAGCACCTTACAGAAGATTTTTTAGCCCTCCCTGCTACTTTAAGTAGGAATTTTGGAAGAGAATATTTCCAAAGAAGGGTCTTTCTTTGGACTCTTGCTTTAAGAAAATTTAACACAAATGTCCAGACCAAAGAAAATTCTTGAATTCCCAGCTTTCTCCAAATTGGTGATTTTGTGCAGAACCCATGGGGAAAACCAGAATCATCTCTTTCATTGATTGTTATCTTCAAGGCAGTCAAATAATTGGTTCCACAGATCCAACATTGCCTGAAGACACCCCCAAATACTTGAAGATCTCCTCTAACAAGTATTATGTGGTCACAGTTTAAAGGAAGAAAAAAATAGATAAAATATGCACCTTACGGCCTTGGGGAAATGCCATTATAGCTGGTTTTGGGAATTCTGAAAGAATTAGAATAAGTGAAATTTCAAAAATACTTCTAGGCACTTTGATGATTTTCTAGATCTAACAAATTTTGCTGCTTCAAACTGGTATTCTCCTAAGTCTTTTTTCAAGTTATTCCCCATTTTTCACTAATTCCAATTGAAGTGCTTCTTTGTAAACTTCCTTGGCCTTTAAGGACTTCCTTCTCTTTAGCAATTCTGAAAACCCTTATTGATAATTGTTTTTTTTCAAAA